TAACTCCCGCAATGTCATATGGCCTTGCGGCTGTCCAATCACATTCATATTCACATCCACCTGTCTTTTATTATAAAACACAAACTCTATGAATTGGATTTAAAAAAGGCATGCGGATAAAAACTTGAACGCCAGTCTCTGATGGCTCTCGAATAACTGCACAGAAAAAGGGAAAACACTCTGGAGATGCTTGTACTCGCTGGCTCTGATCTACACGGTCCTAACCAGGCTGCTGCAGCACGTGCAGGTCATTGAATGACCAGGGTTGAGAAATATAAATAAATGATTTTAGCTTTGTTGGGGTGGAAAGGCGGCGTCGCGACGCTGCAGAGACTCTGCCACTCGACTTCTGGCTTTATTCTAATTACGATTACCCTCAAACAACCCTCAGCCCACGCCCACCCGCACGGCTTGTGTCAAGTGCAAAGGTCTTGTTCTTGGGCAGGCTAAGGTCGCGACATGTGACAGAAGAGCCTGTGAGGAGCAGTCACTTTTTCCCATGCCATGCCTAAACATCGAAATTTGTACCGGACCGCCCAGCGTGTTTAAGGTAATTGTTTTTTCTTTCTTTGCACGACAATTCGTAATTCTCCTCTGCCACTCTGCCACTCTTCCCTTAGCATCCTACTGCATCCTGCATCCTGCGTCGGCGTCAATTCAATTACAAGTTATTTCACGTTCAAACTGCGAGCGGTACACGCACGAACCATCCACATGTCGTTCGCATTTCGCCCCACTCTTGCTCAGGAAATTCAGAAATAGATTGGGGAAATTGAAATTCAAATTGAAAACATGATTTGTACAAATTATTATTATGGTTATATGTAGTAGCGACATCCTGAACACAAAACAACTCTACGGTTGCGGTGCGGAATGTAGTATTCCGGAGTGATCTTAGCTTATTTTCTATGCCTATGCGCATATTGCCAGTTCGGTTAGTTTGCCCGATAAACGCTTGTAAGCTTTTAAGCGTAAATCCGATTCTGGGTTGCAGTACAGTTCATAATGTATACAATGTTAGCTTTGCCTTCGTGACGTTTTGGTTGTCATATTTGTAGCTACAATATTAAAATATGTGTGTCCCATCTTTGGCGAGCCCATCATCCACAATAAGAATAAAGCGACGTATTTATAGTCGAAAACAATGGGGGCTCTAATGATGGGAAATCGCCAGACGGCTATACGCAATCTAGAAGGAGATGATTAAATCTGTGACAACAAAGGGAAAAATAGCATTCAAATTAGAAGCTCATTGTCGATGTTTTGTTGCCAAAGTAGCGCCAATGCGAATGTATTGAGCCAGGCGGCCAAGGCCCTTTGTTCCAGCCAGACAATGGGGTCACAAATGAAGAGCGGGGTTGCATCCACATAAGCTATCAGTGGTGCCACAGATCCAGGGCTTTCGGTTACGGCTACTATAGCAATGCATATGGCGTGTGACACGGTCTGTCAACACGTATGACCATGTTCATCCCCGCCAATGATATGGATAATAACGATCATCAATCGCCATCATCAATCTTCATCCATTACCACCAAGTACAACAATGAATGTCTAATAATTCTAACACGGGACATGAACAGAAACTTTTCCCGGCAAAAGTAGATCCAGACAAATTTAGAAGGCATTGAGCAACGCACTCCCAGCCCCAGTCCCAACCCCATCCCTAACTCCCACTTCTTCGCTTCTATTGGGGAGGATTTTGTGAAGTGAAGCCTTCTGAAGGATTTCTGAGGACAAACGACTGATTAGTTTCACAAATTCAGGAATAAGTTTCCACTGGTCGAACAGTTCCCAATCAAATTTCACAGTTCTCACAGCTGAGAAACTTACTATTTCACAATTTTTTGTTTTCGTGTATTATGATTATTAGCAACTGTGTGCATTTCCGATCTCATGCATTAACATTGTCGACTTATAATTATGTTGTTGATCACCTTAGACAGTCGATTCGATGTACTTTAAATATGTAGCTGTAGGCATTTTCATCTGACCGTTTCTTTTCTATCTTTAAATGCCATTTCTGAAAACCTGCTGGCTGCTCGCCTTCTGTTACAAAACCAATGTATGTACTGCTGCTGCACTGCTGACAGAATGGTAGTACCGAGGTATATAGTATAAATAAAATCAATTAAACCCGTTTAGTTCACTTTTTAGTTTGAAAACATGATTTGTACAAATTATTATTATGGTATTATTATTATTACGATTCAACCTAACATAATCAAGTGCTTAAATCTACATATGTGTCAGATGTACTGCGAACGTGATGGAACTATAATTCGATTCTGATTAGACTTCTGAGATGCTAGCATCACCATCACCCCATATGTAAGAATACGAATTAAGTAGATCAAAGTTCCATGTAAACATCGATTTCAGAAAAGTTGACTGTCCATCGGCTGCGAAGTAAACATTTCTCAACTTTTATTGTGTCACGAATGAACACGAGTTCACCTTTAAATCCACTGACGACTTTGACTTTGGTTTCCATGTGGCTCCCTGGCCATAGAATATGCCACTATAAATTTTCTTCATGTCTAAATATAACATTTATGATTTCCACCCTAGAAATCATTTATACACTTTTTGACAAAATATCCCACCATTATGATGGGATAGTATAGGAAATGAAAAGTATAACAGAAACGAATTCATAAGGTAATGTGTTGTCTAAAATACGCACGGGTCCATAATTACGTACATACTATATGTAAGTATGTATGTATGTACATCCAAAAATGTGATATGTGGGTAAATTTGTATAGTGTTTATATTATCGATCTATTAAATGGACAGCAAGTTCATAGGTTAGTGGAAGGGGAATTTCGATTCTACTTCAATTTTCTTAAACCGATGTATCGAAATACTTTAGGTGCGTAAGTAAATGTAAGAGGGCCGAATTCGGTCCAGGCAAGCTAGAAGTTTAAAGTGGGAGCTATTTGCAATGTAATTTACGAGTATAGTACATACATATGTATATAGGAGCCAATGGCATGCACTCACATTGTTCAGGCTGTTTGCGAACACACTCACACGCACTTAACCACAGATTTATTTGCCATTTTAGGAGTCATTAAGTACGCAAAGGTAAAGGACATCTACACCACCCCCAACTCGCCTTTGCCTCCCCTTGCTCACGCAGCGCATGAGGAAGGCCTTGAAAGCCTGCGGCTCTAGTCCGGAAGCGGCTTTTGAGTGAGTTCGGTGGCTAATTATCCGCCTATGGATGACCAAAGCTAAAGCCCATGACCACTTCGTTTGCTACACCCTTATCGTAACACTAATCCTTGCTCTGTATTTTGTCATGTCATAAAAACTTTGCCTATATTAAGAACATGCTCATGCTTCATGGTAAGACGTCTGTAGAACCGTATCCTTATAGAATCATTATCCCGAGGCCTTAAAAACCATTTGCTAATAATTGCAATCATGTTGGGCAGGCCGTTGGGTCATCGAACGTGCTATTGCTCCATCTAAGGAGCAACACGAGCGGTAGCAGCAGAAGTTAATTTAGCCATTCGACACCGACACCCTTAAGCAGCTTGGCTGAGTTACAATATCCTCTTTACAGATGTGCATCGTTATGTTGCAATAGTACAAATCTAAATATACGTTCTACAATTCAAATGAATATCCCAAGTCTAATAAAAATCTGGTCCCCCAAGTAAAATCTAATTATACCCGATACTCAAAATGAGTATAAAGGTATATTAGATTTGTGGTGAAAATGGATGATTCCAAAAGGAATCGTTTTCGACCCCATAAAGTATATATATTCTTGATCAGCATCAATAGCCGAGTTCATTTAGCACTGTCTGTCTGTCCGTCCCTATTAGTGCCTAGTGCTCAAGGACTATAAGAGCTAGAGCAACGACCTTTTATATCCGGACTTCTGTGATATGTCACTGTTACAAGTATATTTCAAAACTTCCATTTCCTATTTGTCGTGTCATTTAATATTAGCGGCGTCTGCCGGAGGAGAGCCATACTGACTAAGTATCGGGTATAAATGTAGAGTTGCGGTCGCCGCAGCAACTCACATCGTTCCCCCTTGTTTTGATATGTGATCTGTGCGAAAAATATTTTTTTCTGAAAGTAATTAAGCCAAAACTAGGAGGATTATAGTAATTGGAGGATTGTAGTAGTTTCAATTGGTTTTCAAGCCGAAAATAATCATTCGGTTAACTTTTTGATCATTTAGCTGGAATACCGGATAGCATTCCTTATTGGGTTGTTCTTTGAGCTGCTTGCTCAGCTATCAGAAATCGTGTTACAGTACTCGTTATAGATTCTGGGCCGATGTAGAAATCTACAGATCCGATTCCGATCCCGTCAACATCAAATGCCATAATGTAGAAATGCAGCACTTAGTTATGTTTCTTCTTCTTTTGAGATCTAAAAATAGGACACTTGTGCACATTCTGTCTAGTTTACACTCCACATCTTCCGCTTTTCCACTCATTGATATGATCGACATCGACGAATGGGTGACTCTGCCTGCCAAAGAATTGACGGCTCCTGTTTTTCTTTGTTAAAACATTTCTCACTTCATTAAGACGTCTTATAAATATCAGACTTGCCACACGGATGGGGTAGCGAAGGAGAGGAGAGGGGATATGAGATGAGAGAGATATCTGAGGTATGGCGTGTGGCATACGCGTGACCCGTATGTGGCTGTGACAAAGTTGATGGGTGGACACGGCTTGCTGAAGCCATAGAAGAGCCACAGCTGGAGTTAATCGATAATATGAATTAGCCTCAACCTAATAAGAGAATCGTATGATGTATCGTAAATCATAATTTAAAAGAAGTTAGATGTGCCATCTAGAAATGGTTCTAGTGAGTTATGCTAAGTTGCAAAGATTAATATTATTCCATTTCGGATTGGTATTGCTCTACCTTACGTTAATTTTAAACACATATGTATGTAATATTTAATATCTAATTTTAACGAACATCTTTTCTTAAAATATTATTTTTATAATCCCTCTTTCAGGCGCGAGGCAATCAACAGTGATTCAATAGCTCAGTTGACCAAATCCATCCACACGTACATACATACATATTTATTAATTTATGTATGCATATATCAGCATATATTCATATGAATGTATGTATGATAGGTTTGATTTTGGCGTTTGGGGGAACGATCAGAGAGAAATTATGCTATGGGTGAAACTACGCAGAACCCACGCAAGAATTCAAAATTTAAAATGACCTAAATCACTCTTATCGTCGGAGGAGACAATGAACATTTTACAGCAATATTTATGAATTTTACGACATTTATGGATGAGTTGAGCATTTCGACGTTGTCGTGCGGATAAAATATGAACTGGCCGATCAATTTATATGAGAGATGTTCCGCGTTCTCGGCCGCACACTATATGCTACACTCGCACTCACAGCCACCACCCACACTCACACCATGAATGGGCTCGTGGATGGGATGGGATGGCGATGAGAATGGGGGAAGGAATGGCTCTACGGAACAAAATGCACAGATTGTACGTATATAAATACACATGTATTTATACAGAATATGAAACATTTCAACAGCATATTGTTCATATTTTATGTGTTCTCTTCTAAATGTACATAGAAGTATACATATGTACATACTCGATTATGTTCATATGTATATTTTATTTTTCACCGTATAGACAATACGATTCGTCGACTCCCTTATGGAATTAATTTATCGAAAATAGTATATTCTATTCTACCCCTCCAATGGTCATTCTCATAACGCATGCGATCATATATGCATATAATGTAAATATACATATGTGTAAGTATATATGTATACTATATGTTATAAATAATTGACATTTGCAATTGATTAGGAAAGCGAAACGACGACTCGATCAAGTAAAATTTGTACATACTAGGTATATGTACATATGTACATACATATTTCCCTGCTTAATGTGGCGCAACCGATGAAGAAAGTTTGCAATGGATGAAACACATCCTATGTATCGTATGAATTTCTGTTTTCATTCATAAATTTTTATTTTAAAAATAGAACTCTCTGTCTTTTGCTACTTTTTATTCCGCCTCCTTCTGCAAATGCATACATACTCGTATATCTCCTCTCCTTCCATTTCGTATACGTCAGGCTGGTGCAACGTTGAGCGTTGAGGCTGTCATGCTATGATGATGCAGTGGCTTTGCAAGGTTAGCGCGTTTTGATTAATATAAGAATATTTGCAGGCAAATTTTCAAATGCATTTCCGGTGTGATTTGCAATGCACATGGAGTGCAAGTAGAGACAGCCCGTATGATGGCACATTTTCGTATTTATTTACATATATGTACTAAGTATGTATTTACATACATAAATACGTACATACGTAAATATATACGTAAATACTTTAGATGTTTGTAAATTTCACTTTGGGATTTTAATTAACTTGAGTTGCCACGACTAGATCGACATCAACACAGATCGAAGATGCTTCGTGTGGGCAAATTTAACAGTGGTATGTATGTCCACTGCGGGAGCTTTTGATATTAATTAATGTTATCTCTATGTGCATGTATTCGTGTATGTACGTGAGAGTATCAGAGATATTGGGGTGTTCATGATACACTCACTGGAGGGCATATAATATTTATGTACATACATACATATGTATGTGTGTACATCTTCAAGTCCGTCTAAGAAAAGAGAAGCAAGAGGCGCGCCGCTACAGTAGAAAATCAAATTTCTATATGTATTAGAATTAGACCTACTGAAATTATATTATTATTTTTATACCGAACCGATCCGAAAACTATTTTTCACCAGATAATATCTAAGTACATGTGTATGTATTTATGTACATATGACCAAATCGGACTTCCATTTCTTTACAAAGCCTGAATGGACTGGACTCGTCTCTTAATTCGAATTAATTTGGGATTTTGAGACTCGAACGAGCGTATGTACTGTACTTTTACCCTTTTACTTTACGAGTACGGGGTATACAAAGAAGCAACTCCTTGTGAGAAATGTCTTGCTAAGGGAGGGGGCTAAGGGGCTGAGCACATGTGTGATAATGTGCTTTTAATGGGAACCTTTTGAACTGTGTACTTAACAGAGAGATAGTATCTCTCATTGGAATTATGTATTGCGGCGGCGATGTGATTGTCAGTTCAGCAAGCAACTAAATAACTACCCCTGAAAACGAAACTGGAAAATGCAGATTTTTTGGGCAATGACAATGGTAATCATCAGTGTTCGGTTCGTCATCATCGTCAATCATCCCCTTTTCCTTAGCAAAATATTTGGCAGATAAACATCACATTAGCGTGATTCCAAGCCGATTAGCCAAGCCCAAGACCAAGCTGAGCCTAAGCCCAGCTGAAGTTGCGCGATCATTGTCACGTTACAGATTTGCTGCCTCACGCTTACGCTACAGTTATCAAGTGATTTGGTCTTTTATCGCTGCGCTTCACATTCATAGAGTACGAGAATGTATGTATAATATATGTACATATCTTTCAGAGTAGGGGTAAGATGGTACTAATTTGAACGATACAGAAAAAAAGGATAACAAGAGCATAACACGGAATATCTGTTTTGTTTTTTGATGATAAACCGAGTGTTAACACTTGTGTATGTACATATGTATACGCAGAAACAACTAAAAAGAAGCACTCTTTTTTTTCTATTATGTGTACTCGTAAGTATGCACAATAGCATAACTTTAGTGGATGGATACATAAATATATATGTATTTACATATATACATATGTATGTACATATGTATATATGTCCTGACAGCTAACAAGCCAAGCCCCATAAGTTTTGAAGAAAAGCTGCTATGAGAATGGGAGGTTCCTCAGGTATGGTGGTATCGTGGCTATGTGCTATTGCTATTTCTATGGCCCCGGCAATGGCTATGTGGCCGGCCGGCCATTACATAAAAGCGAATGGGGGGGGGGGGGGAGAAGGTAGAGGCCGCAGAATAAAGGAAAGCTTATTGTTCCGGGCTTGAATGGAAAGCACAGTACAAAAGCGATTCAAAAGAAAATTTAACATAGCACAGAAAATCGCAAAGGATATACAAAAAGTAAAATGAATGTACACAGAAAGGTCCTCTCCTACACAATGAAACAAGCTGTGAATAAAGGAAGTAAGAAAGAATAATACAAATTTGTATGCAACAGCCGGGGAAATTCAAAAAATGAAAGGAATGGAAAGCTAAAGAAAGAAATGGTTTCGGAGGACGCTTGCACACTAAAAATATACTCGTAAGTAAATATATACATATATATATATGTACATACACACATACGCCTATGGTAAGTTTTAGATACAAACTAGGCACTCAGGTTAAAATTATCTAACTGAAAGTTTGCACAAACTCTTCTTTTTGCCAAAATACAGGATATGGGGAATCGAATCGGAGTACTGAATCGTCAGAACAATCAGTCGTGGCGAAGGATGTATGTAATGTTTTGGCCCCTTTTGAAACATTTCTTGCTAGAATCGAGTCTGTATACGTGACTACTTACCTAAATTTGTATGAGTATATGCAAATTTGCAATTGTTACCTGCAAGGAAGTGGAGATACGTGATTCACTCTTTGCCCGCTGGGGCTGAGTGCCACATAAAAAGACCTTAAATTTCATCTGCATATTGACGCTACAAAAGCTTTGACAATTCCTGCGCAACGAAACAAATACATTTATAATAGCAATCTTTTTTAAAAATAGTGGTAGGGTCTTTTTTAGTCCTAAAAAACCTATTAGAGAATTATGCGATAAATAAATGTAATCGTATGACTTTTTCATAAATGTACATAGTTTAGTTTCTGCTTTTTACTGGAGGCAGTCCGATGAGTCCACCAATAGGGTTAGACGGGTTCAGTTTCAATACATTCATAACTAAGATTTTGATTGACAAAAGTATATAATCGCGCTGTTACTTGCCTGTGTAAGCAAGCGACTTCTAATCAGTTGAAGTTGTCGTATCATTTCGGAGACCGTGTGATCCTTTTCATATGTACGGTCCTCCCGGATACAGCCAGACAGCACTGGTTGTTCTCTGAAACGATCGAATATAAGGTTTAGGTACTCATTAGAAAAGATATTTAAGCCACGTTTAGCCCAATTTTTATATAACAATTTAATCGTTCATCTCTATCCAACTATCACCACAAGTGTAAAGGAATCAATGTCGCCGAAACTAAGACATAAATTATTCATCAACTACAGATTTTCACTTATATGGATAAAATGAGAATTATAAACATGAATAACACATCGACTGACGTCAATGTTCCCGAATTGTTTGGAAATAGTATGAGAGGCATCAACAACAAGAAAGAAAGATTAGTATGGTATGGCCCTAAAATGCACATGTAACTAAAACACAAAAGATTTATCTTCCACAATTATTCCTTTGGCAGCTACTAGTATACATACATACATATGTATGCATTTTTTATGACACGTAAAAAATGGCGGCTCAAGAAACTATTGGGGTCTCCGTTGAAAAATGTTTGTCAAAATCAATACCAGCCGGATGTACAAAATCTACGACTACATTATTAATGCGGTAGGCAATCCTACAGAGATATCTAACCAGTTCGGTTCATCTTGTTATCTATCCAAGTGGCATAGCTTTGAGTGAGTGCAATTTGGGATAAACACAAACATACATATGTTCTAGTACGTACCGTACCGCTCATATAATTTCGTCGGATTGTCAGTGCGGATATTGATCCTGCGGTCAGGCTCACAATTTGCTGCTGTAACTTTATTCTCTATTTCCGTTCATGGTATTCAATTATTAAGCAACAATTCAAGTGAGTAAGCTTATATTTGAACATCGGCGGCGATGGAATGGCCGTTCAGAGCGGACGTGCCGGCGGGTCGTTCGATTAAGCTACAGTTTGCCATCCTTGCCCTAAAATTATTTGCTAGTTTTGGTGTGCATTTTTAATGGAAAATTTGCCAATTTCCCAAAAAGGAAGCTATTGAAATCTGGCATTCATTGAAGGCTAATTTTGCACTTTGAGGCTTACCGGATGACAGGAAAGGAAAGTGTCGGCCTCTTTTTCATGCCAAATTTATGAATAAATATTTCAACTTCTTAATTTTTGTTTTTTTGTATTATTTTCTCTCTAAAGGTGTCCTATTCTAAAGAGCAGCTTGGGGCGGTTCGGACCTACCTTTGTGAAAAACCTAGCTTAGGTATAGCAGAGTATTCTAAAGAAGGATCTCTTCCATAAATTGAAAAATATGAGGTTGTTGCTGAGGACGAGGACGTAGGCGGACATCTTTCTTCTGAAATAGCTTCTCGGCTCGGTGAAATTTTATTCAACTTTTCCATCTCCATAGCTTCTTTTTGTTGGGCAGGAATCAACAGCTCGGACGCAGGACTAATATCAACATTATGTTCTTGCTTAATCACTTTTCTATGCTGTGGTGCCACGACGTCATCGCCTTTTCGCATCGGATTTTCAAGCAGCTGGATGGAGCCGGTGCCCGTAACTCCACCTTCAACTCTATCTCTTAGCTGAGAATCAACATCAACACTGTCGGAGCCGTTCGAAAGGTTAACCTGCTCTTTGCGGCATATAATAATTTTTGTATCGTCAGTTCCATTCCTCGGACGAGCTTTCTTCGCCTTCTTAGTGTATCTTGCGCATGAATCCGACTTTTTTGCTAATATGTATCGAGTTGACTGTAAAATATCTTATTATTCATTGCAGTTAGGCCCACGGCGTTAGGAACTTACGTGAGTACTCCTTCTATTAACATCTGACTCGTTCGAACTGTCCGTTGTACTGGAACTCTTTGAATCGGTATCCTGGTCAGTATTTTCGTAATCACTTGTTGACACCATACTCGAGCACATTTCCATTTCCGTATCCGTATCCCTATTCACTGTGTTCGCATTCGCCCCATTGCCTCTTCTTATGGTAAAGGTTGATACTGATCCTTCGTTTCCATTGCTGTTGAGTAGCTGCTGCTGCATTTTACCAATAGTCGATGGGCTGTTTTTTGTGATACCACACTGCCCTTCAGTCTGTAGATATTCCAATCCTTTAACACTTCTCTTGGACTTGGCATCAAATTTGTTTGGGTGCGATTTTCGCTTTCCTGACATGCTGAAACAATTCAAAAAGTAGCCTTTTAGTATCATATAAATTAGTCGACGTATATCTATCCATCTTATGTACTAGTTTTATAACATACATATGTTTATCTTTACTAATACTAATAGCATGTACATACATACATAGGATTGCATACGATTACCTGTGTTCAATAAACAACGCAAGAGGCTGATAATCATATCTAAAACTAAACTAAAAACTACTGACCGGCAAAGAGGAACAGTTGGGACAGTTCTGGTCTAAGTGTAAATGGACTGCGAGCTCGAAGTCAAGCACCACTTTCAGCCCTTTTTCCCCTTTACGTATCGTATTGGTCCATACATAAGAAGAAATGATTGTTTTCCCGATTCGCTTTGAACTGAAATTTTATTTATAATGATGACTTCCGCTCTACTGCGACTCCAATACAGACGAGGATGTACAGTGCTCCGCTCCCCTTGCTTTTTGGCAACTGCAACTCGTACGAGTACAGATATATCATGGATGTATGCACGTGTGCACATACATACATATGTACACATACCGTCGCAGGGAAATACAAATATTGACTTGCACACTTACAAATAGCTTCCGCAAATTCACTTCAATGGATTTCTCTCCTTTTTGTCGGGCTTTCGGTTTAGCTGTATTGTGGGTTGTGGTCGTTGTTGTTGTATTTAAATATCAATATTTATATATGAATACATGTATACATATACCCGAACAACACATTATATAAAGCGTATGTATTATAAGCATCTGTGAGTTTGTACAAATGTTTAAGTACATTCGTATTTCCGAAAATACACACTGGTGTGGTGGGGACGGAAGGGGGGTTGAATGCGTGAGTAGTGGTGACAGAAAACCGAAAATACGAAATAAATAAATAAATAAATTAGTTACAGTGAGTGCCTAAACATACAAACATATAAATGAGCGAAACAATAATAGCCATGTCCAAATAAAAGCGTCTTTCCCGCCCCCCACCTTTGCGACTCTCTGGCTGCCGGATGTGAGAAAATATAGAGTGCGACTGCTTGGAGTATTGTCAATGTAAGAATTGGAGTCGCAAAGTCATGAGGAAATTCCCGTACCAGCCAACCAACAGACACTGAGAAAAATGGCTAATCGCAATATCATTGGTACATATGTATGTAATGGACTCCGCACTAATCGGTGATCTATCATTATTATTTTCGTACTCGTAAGATTCAGAGTTAAATCAGCGCTTTCAATAATCAAATACACCACTTATTTATATTTCAGTGTAGCTTAACATACATACCTTAGAATCTAACTTTTACCAATAGATTTTCTTTGTTTTCAGTGTGCTTCTGTCATATAAAATTGCGTAGATCCACAGTCACATAGATATTGATGTTTGTTGTTTTCAAATGATTTCCGAATTGATCCCATTCCTCTGGTCCATTTATCATCCGATCCGATGCTCAATTTTTCATACCTTAGCTTTCCGATAAGTATGTAGAATATTCAGGGGGCGCGCGACAACGGCGGGCGCTTGTAGCTTAATGGTATCGTATCCCTCTGGATGGCAATTGAGTCTGATTCCACTAAGTAGGCACGTGGTTGATTGGTTGGTGTGTGTGAGCGTGTGTTTCAAGGTGCATACAATAAATATTATTCTTTCCTTTTTTAAGCACCGCAAAACATCATCTGCAAACAGGACACCGTGTGTGTGGTGTAAAAAGAAATAAAAAGAAAAGCGCCTGGCGCAATAATGAATTTTCAATTGGGGTCCTAAGTCCTAACCACTCCAAAGGACATGCGGCTACTGCTCAATTCTATTGACTGCGGCCAGCATTGTTTACGAGCCTTCGGCAGTAGCCTTAATGCGGCGGCCAACGCACGTGCTGGCATTAAAAATGAATTTGGTTGAACCCGAAAGGACCAACATGACCACCACCAACACTATGGTGGTGGAATCCAACGAGGGTTTGTTAAAAAAGGCTGCTTTCCACTTTACAAATTGGAAGAAAAAGAATGGATGGATGATAAGTCGTTCCCGATCGCCTGCTCAGTGCTGATGAGAAGTACCGATCGAATTACCATCAATTTCATATCAGAATGCAAATTCGAATCTAAACAACATTGCGTTTAGTATTTTTTAAAGAGCAATATGGGCTTCTTCGCGAAAAGGTCAACCAAGAGTCGCAAAAAAAAGTACCGAAGAAGTATTGAAATTTTATGTTTTTGAGTTAAAATAGTGAATATAAGTTCATTGTAACAAATAATTGTAAGCGAAGTTGAGTTTGTATGTATAATTCACTGGGCCTATAGGCCTATAGGCCTATTTCGTTAAAATATTTTTTACATTTAGAGTTCTCTTACCGTAGAGCTTCTCTTCTTTAATTGTACTTAGATAAGTGAAGTTATGGTAAAAATTACAAAGAGAGACAACAGAGCACGAATTAACCATATTTGGTCTAATCTTTAATCTGATCTTCTTTTGTAGCGTGAGTGACCGATAAACAGCATAAGTTGTCAAAACTTTTGCATTTATTGATAATAGCGGACGAAAATATGTACATAGTTTACGTGAGATTAGTTCAACAATCTGTAAAAAAAAATTAAATAAAATTTGTTCCAATAAACTCTTTTTTTTATTCATTGTGAAAGTTTGTCGTCTGACCATAAAGCGACCCCATAAAGTATATATATTCTTGATCAGCATCAATAGCCGAGTCGATTGAGCCCTGACTGTCTGTCCGTCCGTCGGTCTGTCCGTCCCCTTCAGCGCCTAGTGCTCAAAGACCATAAGAGCTAGAGCAACGATGTTTTGGATCCAGATTTCTGTGATATTTCACTGCTACAAAAATATTTCAAAACTTCGCCCCGCCCACTTCCGCCCCCACAAAGGACGAAAATCTGTGGCATCCACAATTTTAAAAATATGAGAAAACCAAAAACGCAGAATCGTAGAGAATGACCATATCTTCTAGACTGCAGAATCTGAATTGGATAGTATTATTAGTTTAGCCAGCATCAAGAAAACAATTTCATTTTTTCTCGCCCTGTCCCTCTCTAACACACAGGTAGCATAGGCGGCTTTGTTTAGAGTAAAACATTAGCGCCTAGATCTCAGAGACTACAAAAGCTAGAGCAACCAAATTTGGTATCCACACTCCTAAGATATCGGACCGAGACGAATTTGTTTCAAAATTTAGCCACACCCCCTTCCGACCCCGCAAAGGACGAAAATCTGGGGATATTCACAAATCTCAGAGACTATTCACGCTAGAGTAACCAAATTTGGTATCCGCACTCCTGTTAGATCTCACTACAAAACGTATATCTCAAAATTTCGCCATACCCCCTTCCGCCCCCCCAAAGGACAAAAATCTGTGGCATCCACAACTTTGAAGATACGAGAAAACTAAAAACGCAGAATCATAGATAATGATCATATCTATCAGGTTTCTGAATCTGGATCAGATCAGATCAAATAGATAGCCAAAGGGAACAAATCAATTTGCACTGGCTACGCAGCGCCCGACGTCACGCTCATACTGATTTTCTGTCTCTCTCGCACGCACTCTTCGTCGTGTCGCTTAATATTAGCGGCGTCTGCCGGAGGAGAGCCATACTGACTTAGTATCGGGTATAACCGTAGAGTAGAGCAACTCACAACGTTCCCCCTCGTTTTGTTTCAATACGTTAAGTTTTGTTTAACATATTAATAAACTACTAATACAATAACATAAAAATGCTATTAATAATTGCATAAAAACTTTTTTAGTATAAACTGTTTCGGAAGAAACCACTCTTCCTCATCAGCGACCTTTTATTTTCCAAATATGGGAAATGTGGTAGATCGTACAGTGTTTTAAATTTGTTCAATACATATTTGTACAATACAATTTGTTTACATATTATGGTTTGCTATACATTTTTCCAGTCTTTACATATTCTGGTTTGCTATACATTTTCCAGTCTTTACATATTCTGGTTAGTTATCAATTTTCCAGTCTTTACATATTCTGGTTAGTTATAAATTTTCCAGTCTTTACATATTCTGGTTTGCTATAAATTTTCCAGTCAAGTGGGGATCTGGCTCTCTATATTTAGTAGGTGCATGTAAGCACCGAAAAATTTTGTAATGAATTGTACAGCTTGCTCAGCGTCACTGCCTGTCCCCATTATCATGTTTGTTGCACTCCTCACATGAACCTTCAATAATCAGCCGAATATTTCCAGCTCATCATTGTTGCACAAGCCGATATATTTTCCAAACACGCTTTGAAGTTCTTTCACTTCTGTTGCAGTTGTGCCCTTGCGCTTGCCTACTCTGGAGTTGGCTTCATCGATTGCCTGCTTCCAGGTATTCCCTGTAAAGAATTATATACCTCGTCAATTTTAAAGAGGATCTTCTTGGTGAAGCCGTATTTAGAGGACAAGTTTCTCCTTAAATGCGTATAGCAATACAGGCATTGATAACACTGCTTGGCAAAATTGATTGCCTTTTGCAATTAATGCCATGGCAGAACGGACGTCTGCCTGTCTATCCAATAACTTAGCATGAAGTGCAAAAAAATAGCGTATTTCATCCATTATTTCACTTCTTCATAAACTCACTTATGTTCTCACTTATGTTCACTATTGATCACGATTACGTAGAACGGTAAACTTTATCAGTATGTGTGCGACAGTGAGATCAGGTTTTTTTACTTAAATTATGCAAAGTTAAGAAAATCAACCTCTCCGCTAGATATCGGTACTCCCCAAACATATCATTCTCCCAAAATATTTTAATTACCAATGCAAGGTATCCTGCTATCGGCAGGAGGACATGGCAACACTGAAATACATATATGTATTCCATGCCTTACATTTTACCATTTTCAAAATTTATATATGTATTTGTCCATTGACCATTTCTAAGAGCCTTGAAAATAGT